CTCTGCTCGTCGCCGGCCAGCCTTCGCCACGGGCCTCCGGCTCTCCGAGTATGAAGCCTCGACGGAGAACTACCAGGTCCAGCCCTACGGCCTGCGGAACACTGCCTCTAGCTGCGCCTACAACCTGCAACGCCGCTTGGATCTGTGTTTTATGCACCGACCTCAGCCAAAGCCACACAACTTCGTCAACATGATCCAGATTGAAGATTATCAAGAAGGATCCGTTCACACAGTCCAAGAGGGCGACTCTAGCTCCTCGTCTGGCACCGCATCTAATGCATCTGTCCACACCGAGCTTCAGCATCACAAAGATGAAGGCGTCAAGTACGATATGGATATCCCAGACCACGCCCCGGGGTTCTCACAATTCCTGTCTTTCCCGCCAAGACGAGGGGATTTGATCCATGTTGTCAGCAATGACGAACCGCCGGCAGTTGGTGAAACAGAACAAGAAAGGACTACACGCGAAGCACGCAATATTGACCGGTTTAATCGCCGACAAATCGAAGCTGAAGCAGACCAGGAGGCACGACGCATAAGGGTCCAGCCACGTGACCTCAACGATGCTTTCGACAGGGTGGGGGACAAATAGGTCTTCAGAACTCCAAGTGCCAACGTAGCCGTCGCCATGGCGACAATGCAACGGCTACCCAACACCTCGGAAACCCAAGCAGTTCGCGATGAAATACAAGCCTATCTGACGGCTGCTATGGCCCAGACCGCGAAGATTGTAAACCAAGCTCGGGCTCCATCCGTCTCGGTCGAGTCAAGCCACGGCCGCCAGCACCCAAGTCGCTCATAGCCGCCCAACCAACGTGGCTCGCGCAACAACGACCCATCAGACAACCGTCAAGGAGGAAACGGTGGCCATGATGGTGACCAGGACGACAACCGCCGCCGAGACAACCACGACAATCGCCGCGATAACCACGGTCGCAGGGCTAATCCAGATGGCAATCGAGATCGCCGCAATGGCAATAACGATCTCCGCCATTACCTCGGTGGACGCGATCTGCGCGCTCGCATTAACCAGAGAGCCGACGATCGAGCGTCCCATGAAAGTTATCGCCGTATGAAATATGACACTGCCCACGGCCCACCGGGTTTGAAGCAGTTTACTCCACACCTTCGCCAAGTCATATGGCCCAAGAATTTCAAGCTCGAGAAACTTCAGAAGTACGACGGCAAGGAAAACCCCAAATTATGGGTCATGCTTTACGAGATCGCGTGCAGATCAGCCGCCATCGACGAAAGCACATCATGTCTAACTATTTCCCGATCATTTGTTGGCCATGCGGGTCACTAATGGCTGGTCACTTGCCGATGAACTATTTCGACTCTTGGCGGGAGCTCAAGCAAGCCTTCATCGACAACTTCATTGCTACTTGTGAACAACTGTGCAACAAATACGATCTGCAACGTATTCGAGATCGAAAAGATGAGCCACTGCGCGAGTATGTCCGGCGTTTCTCGGAGATGCGCATCAAGGTCCCATCAATCTCCGACAACGAGGCAATCGAGGCTTTCATCACTGGCCTCCGCTTCCACGATGCCCTAAGGGACAAGCTCCTCCGCAAGAGACCCGATTCGTCCGCGGCGCTCCCGCCACCGCTAAGAAATACGCGGACGCCGACGACGCTAAAAAGATAATTATTGAAGAAGCAAAGCAAGGGTTCCGCGCTCCGACCACCCCCCCACACCGCGCGACTACTATCGCGGCAACCGTGGTCGAACGATAATTTTGACCGCCAAGAACCAGCAAGAACGACTCCCGCGACCACCGTGACTAACGTAATCAGCGGCGTAACCGCCATGACGATTACAGAGCAAGCGTGTTTCGGGAAGACGACGGCGAGGTCAACACCGTTAAAAAGGGTGGCGGACGACGTCGTAACTATGAAGACGACTACGCCAAAGCATTGAAGGGCCCCGCCAGCTCCATCCTAAGTCGAACCATACCATGGAGAATTGCCGCGTCCTCAAGTCTATCTACACACGTCAACAAGCCCGGACACGTCCGGCAAGCCCTAACGACGCAGGGAAACAAGAACGAGGATAACGGCGACGATGATGCGGACCCTCGTCACAAGTACGTCAAGCCAACCGATCGCGTGCACACCATCATCGGAGGCAAAGTGTCCATCGAGACCAAACGAGAACGCAAGCTGCTCGCCCGCGCTTGCTTGAACATGGCCAACACCGACAATCTCCTCACCGATCCGCGGCTCCCTCCGTGGTCTCACCGCAAAATCTCCTTCAGCAGAAAGGACCAATGGGCCGCAATATACGAGCCAGGCATTTTCCTTGGTCCTCGATCCTTGTATCAACAAAGTTCGATTCGACAGAGTAATCGATCGATGGCGGTAGCTCCATTGATATATCTTGTTCAAGAATAGTCCGCCCATACGAAGATAGCTCAGCGGACCTCAAGCCACACGAGGCACGATTTTGGGGTGTTCTCCCGGACAGAGCTCTACACCTCTTGGGCGAGATCACGCTACCAAAGGCAGCTTTGGGACCCCGGATCACTTCCCAAGACCGACCACGTCAACTTTGTGGTCGCCGACTTCGATGGCACCTACCATGCTATTCTTGGTCGACCGTCGCTCACCAAGTTCATGGCCATACCTCATTACAGGTGTATCCGGTGCTCAAGATGCCTACCGAGAAAGGAGTTCTAACCCTCCAAGGCAACGTGTACGCAGCTTATACCCTAAGATGATACGGTTTCAAAATAGCGAGGCTCACGACCTCTCTATTCGCATGGCCGAGACCGTGCTCGACGCCAAGAAGACCTCCATCGACCACCGGGAGATCCGGAGCTCGAGGCTCCACGCAAGAACATCAAGTCCAAGGAGCACAAGGTGATCCAATTGGTCGGACGGTGATCTCAAAGAAGACGGCCCTTATCGGGGCCAACTCGGATCCCAAATAGGAAGACGCGCTCGTCAGTTCTTGAGGAGCAACGTGGATGTGTTCGCATGGAAACCTGGCGACATGCCGGTGTACCTCGGAACTTGATTGAGCACTCCTTGAATGTCAACGGCAAGGCCAAACCCATCAAGCGAAGCTACGACGGTTCGCTTCGCGACAAAAAGGAGGCGATTAGGGTAGAAGTTACACGGCTTTTGGCGGCGGATTTATCAAAGAAGTGTATCATCCGGAGTGGTTAGCCAACCCGGTTCTTGTACGCAAAAAGAATAATGAATGGAGAATGTGCGTTGATTACACCGATCTCAACAAACAACGCCCTAAAGACCCTTGGCTTACTCTCGCATAGACGAGGTCGTAGATTCAACCGCCGGTTATGAAGCTCCTTTCCTTTCTCGATTGCTACTCTGGTTATCACCAGATCGCTCTCAAAAAGGATGACCAGATCAAGACATCTTTTATCACGCCCTTCGGCGCCTACTGCTACACGACCATGTCGTTCGGGCTCAAGAATGCCGGGGCTACCTACCAACGCGCTATACAAGCTTGCCTCAAAGACGAGATAAAAGATGACCTCGTCGAGGCTTATGTTGATGATATAGTTGTCAAAACCAAGGAAGCTCATACCCTTGTTGACAACCTGGGACGCACTTTTGCAGCCCTTAATACATTCCAGTGGAAGTTAAACCCAAAGAAGTGCATCTTTGGTGTTCCTTCTGGCATACTCCTCGGCAACATCGTCAGTCACGACGGCATACGCCCTAACCCGGAAAAAGTCAAAGCTGTCTTGGACATGAAGCCGCTCAAAAAGGCACATTCCCTAATTAAGACGCTCCGGCCCTAGCTCTGCCGATAGCTCCAACACTGGAGCTTGAGGAGCCGCACCAAACGCGGACATGAGGAGAAGCGCTTCTCGATCCTGAGTAGACGAGCTAGAGCCATTTTAGGCATACATACTGACATGAAGACACGTTTTGGTGCTCCGATCTCTCGGCTCCAGCTCTAGATCAGCGCACGCGGAGCCGTGCCAAACATGCTCTTATTTCATTAAATGAAACTTTTATTATCTCTTCATCTATATAATATCATATCAACTTATTATACGTCCATGGAATTCCATAAAATCCTCATTGAGAATAGTCCAAATTCTAGATCAGACGGTGCAACACACACTGCCTTAGCCAAGTTTTCTCCCGTTGCTGTATGCTACTACCTGTGGCTGGGGTGCCCAGGTCAGGAAAAGTCAACCGTGCCTGACAGAGTCAGAACAGCCGACCCTGAATCTCGTGCACTGACAATGAAACTTTTTTCACGTCTAGTGGGCGCACCGGCACGAGTGGAAAAATAATCACGCTGAAAAGCAGTCTCAAGGCCCACAAGGCTGAAAGATATGAAAAAAGCACGCGGATAGAGATCCACATGTTTTTTTTTTGCGTGAAAAAAATGTACGTGTGAGCCTCTGTCCGTGTGCTTTTTTTTCGCCTCTCTGCCGTGTGGGCCTAGGTTTACTTGGGCTACTTCGTTAGTGCTACGTGATATATGTCTGATGGTAGCATATAAATGTGAAGTAGTACAAGACTATTAGGATTTTTGTTCGTTCTCACATGAGAATATTGAGGTGCAGTTTCAAAGAGTCGAACTCGGAGGCGAATCTCCTTACAGAAGCTATGGAGCTGAGGTCCAATTCCAGAACGTCAATTGTTGCGCCGTGGATCTTGGCCACGATGGCCGCCTTGGCCGCGAGCCCGGCAGAGACGTTGCGGATGGCCATGACGACGTGCACACCGAGCAGCACCAGAACGCGCGCCGTCTCTAGCCCGATTCCGCTCGTCGCACCTGCGAGAGGCTCATCTCAAAGTGCTCAACACATGACATTGTTTCGCCGTAAATGGCTAGTTCCAAGAGCCTGACCAGACCGCGGTTGCTCGATCGGAGTTGATTCCGACGAGTCCTGGTGTGTGGTCGGCGTTCCAACTTGCAAGTCTGGCCAGTCCCATTGTGGCCGGTCAACACAAAGTCCGACCGCCCTGGGATTGGAGCGACTTGGGATGTGAGGTAAGTATATGTACCTGTGATGACGGCGACCAGACCATGGCCGTCGACGCTGGCAGTGACCTCCTCAGCCGTTGAGGCGCCGGAGAAGCCCGAGGGCCCTTTGCGGTAGAACCACCACATCAAGCTGTAGGTTCTTAGGCTCCGTGTTTGGGGCGTTAGATGGGGGATGGCCAACATATAAATAGTGGAGCAAGCGACAGGAACCTGATGATGGCCATGCCCAGCAGTGAGCCGTGAGCGGAGGGAATTATTGTACTAGTCAACAGATGCAGTTAGCCGGCTACTTTGGAAGTACTCCCTCCATACTCATATTAGAGGTCATTTAGGACATAATTGTGCATACCAAGAAGTAATTAATTAGAGGGTATTTTTCTATCTGCCCCTATTAAATAGGGCTGTGGGTGCATTCTATACGAGAAAACTTCCCAACTCATATGGCTAGCGCATTGAGGCTTGGCTCTGGTTAGCCGAGTTCGACTCCTAGCCACCACACTTTTTTTGCTGCCGTCTTCATTTTGCATGGCACTGTTTTTGCCATGCATGGCGCGCGCTCAGATTCGATTTTTTCGGCCTGGACTGCATGGCTCGCAGAGGGGAGCCTACATGGCGCTCGTTTTCCAAATTATTTGTCGTGGCGCTCGTACCATGGCGCGTTTTTGCCTGCGCGCTTGTTTGGATGGCTGGTGGGTGGTGGATGGCTGCATGACTGACGTTTGGGTCACCTGAGTGCTTATTTACTATGCCAACTTGCTTTCTCTCTTCTCCACGCCACTTCTTCTTTTGTTCATGTACTGAGCCATCTTCTCTAGTCTAGCTACACATGGCCGATTCATTTCCTATGTTCGATCTTAACAAGCTTGTATCCAAAGACGACGACCCTGAAGATGACGACGGCGACGCTGGCTTTGCTCTGCACGAGCCTGAAGATGACGACGGCCACACTGGCTTTGCTCTACACGAGCCTAAAGATGACGACGGCGACACTGTGTTTGATCTCAACGACCCTCCGTTGGAGCATGGCAAAGGTATTACTTCTTCTCTTGTGCATGTACTGTGCTATCTCTTCCTCTCAATCGTTTCTCATATCATTGCTTCTTATTTTGACAGGATTTGATTTGAACTTGCCGCTAGATGAATTTGGTGCAGTGGCTGGTAATTTCTTCTCCGTTTGTTCTTTTAATTTTTTGATTATTTTTAATGTAAGTTGTGGCTAACAAGTGATTCTTTTTTTCTTTTACTAGAACATGCTGCTCCCATTGAAGCAAACCATTGAAGAAAAGAAATGACAGAAGACGTTAGAAAACAAGTTTATCAAGCATTGTTGGCTAGAAGCAAGAATGGGAAACTAGCCAAGAAGGATACAAGAATTGTTGCTGACCAATTTGGACTACACATTCGGTCAGTTCAGCGCCTATGGAAGCGAGGTATTCACCAACTTGCTCAAAACATTCCGGTTGTGGTTGCAAGTAAAAAGAAGGGTAGATGTGGCCGCAAGGTAGTCCCTCTTGATTTGGAACTACTACGCAACATTCCTCTCAAGCAAAGAATGACCATAGAAGATGTGTCTAGTAAACTTGGTATGAGCAAAGCTAGGATACAAAGGTATTTGAAAAAAGGTTTGCTTAGGCATCACTCTAGTAGCATTAAACCCTACCTCACAGATGCTAACAAGAAGACTAGGTTGAAGTGGTGTGTTGACATGATTGAGAAGGGTTTGGTTGATGATCCTAGATTTAAGGATTTTTTTGACTTTGTGTACATGGATGAAAAATGGTTCTACCTCTCTAAAAAATCTGAGAAATATTATTTGCTACCCGAGGAAGATGAACCACATCGAACTTGTAAAAACAAGAATTACATCCCTAGGCTCATGTTTTTGTGTGTTGTTGCTCGGCCAAGGTTTAGGAATGGAGAGTGTGTTTTTATGGAAAAATAGGTTGTTTTCCACTTATCACTTATGAACATGCTGTTAGAAGGAGTCAAAATCGTCTTTGTGGAGAACTAGTAATCAAGCCAATTACTTCAATCACAAGAAAGGTGATTAGAGATTTCATGGTAAACAAAGTGTTGCCTGCCATTCGAGCCAAATGGCCAAGAGAAGATGTCAACAAGCCAATTTTCATACAACAAGACAATGCACCTTCCCATTTGAAATTGGATGATCCTATTTTTTGTGAGGCCGCTAAGCAAGAAGGGTTTGACATTCGCCTCATTTGTCAACCACCCAATTCTCTGGATTTTAACATTCTAGACTTGGGGTTTTTTTTGAGCTATTCAAGCTATTCAATACAAGAAGGATGCAAAAACAATAAATGATCTAGTTCCAGCAGTCCAACAGGTAATGATCAAATTGTTTCATACAATAAGATAATGCACTTGTTTCATGGTTTCTTGAACAACTAATTGATTGATTTCTTCAACACATTTTTTAGGCATTCCTAGAGTACTCTCTATGGAAAGCAAACAAGATTTTTGTAACACTTCAAACTGTTTTGAAGGAAGCCATGAAGATTAAAGGATGCAACAAGTTGAAGATTCCTCACATGCAAAAAGAAAAACTAGAGAGAGAAGATAGGCTGCCATTGCTAATCTCTTGTGAAGCTTCATTGCTAGCTGAAGCCATTGCTAGCCTTCCTGCAACAAATTAGAAGAAGAGATGCAAGCATGTTAGTCTTTGCAGTATGCTAGCCGAAGCAAGAGTACTATTAGTAGCAAATTAGTTTTTGCATGCATGCTAAGTCGACAGAATGGGACATGTACCTTACTGTTCTTTTGCATCTTGCTTCATCTTTGCATCTTCCAACTTCTTCATATTGTAGATCTCATCCAACTTCTTGATAACATCGTCAGGTAGCAGTATTGTGTCACCATCCATTTGAAGTTTCACCACATTAGTAACATAGAACTCGCAATCAAACTTTTCCATGCCATGCAACCACCTTGCTGGGAGATCGTAGTCTTCATGTAAAAGGCCACAACACGCACACCTGCGAGTGTGGCGGTGAGCTTGGAAGCAGGCTTCTCCGAAGATGCCGCCAGCGTGGAACGTGCCGCAGCGAGGACACAGGGACTCGACGGAGTCGGGCACCATCTCGACGGAATCCGGCACGACGTCGACAGTGTCCAGTGCCTCGATGGAGTCCAGCGACTCCACAAAGTCCACTGCCTCGTCGGTGTCCAACGGCTCGACGTTGTCCAGCGTCTGCTCGATGGAGTCCATCACCACAGCGTTGTCCAGCGCCTGCTCGACGGTGTCCAACATCTCGACGGAGTCCATCGCCTCCTCCATGGCGCGAGCGAGCTTCATGGTGCCAGCAGCGAGCGTGTGCTATGGGAGACGAACTGGCGGCGAGCGCGTGCTGCGGGAGGTGAGTGTGCGCGTGATGAAGAGCCTTGACACGAGCGAGATTGCACAAAACGAAGAGTCATGATTAATTCATTGTCGATCCATGCTAGCGGCGGGCGTGCGGGAACAAAGCGTCAGGGGCTAACGCGCCCATCTGGTGCCCCATGCAGCCTGGGCGACTTCCTTTGTGAAAATGAGCGGCTCGCCTAGAACGACATCTAAATCTAGTATGGAGGGAGTACGGGCCAATTAACCCTGGGAACAACACCACTATGTGTTACTGTGTTTGGACTATGGAATCCACGCCCAACCAACAGGGGAGATACACCACCGCATGGGACATTGCCCTTGTGCCATTTTGCAAAGTGATAGGTGGAATGGTGTTTCTCCCCACATGGAATTTTGATTTTTGTTCATTGGGAACAGGTAGATATGCAACGGTATCATAGTTTTAAATCTCCCGCCATAAGCTGCCGCTATAGCATTTCGAGGCAGGATGCCGCTATTTGTGTTCATATACAATTTAGCTGCTATAGCCTAATATAGCTCCTGTCAGTGCAGAAAGTGACCAACATGTAAATATTTGTAGTTTTGCCTTACGTTGTGATCGGATGTGGCCTAGCGCTCAACGACATAGGGTTTAAACTAGTTCAGGCAACGTGCCCTACGCCCAGTTTGAGTCGGTCAATGACTTTATTCCGAAGCCCAGATGCTCAAAGTTTGCTGTGGGGTTACAAACGGATGGAAGAAAGGTGGGGGGTGCGAGAGGTCCGGTCAGACTCCGGTCTGAAGGGCCGAGAGAGACAGGAGCTCCGCTATGTGCTATCTATTCGAGCATGAGCTCGAGGTCTGAACCTAGTGGTTCTGTTGTTGTGTGTTCAATCGATCGTGAGTGAGCTAATCCTCCTCTATCGGGGAGCAGCGCATCCCCTTTTATAGATGAAGGGGACAGCCTTACAAGCGAGAGAGAGAGAGTATGTGTGTTGGTAAGTCTTGTTGCTCACGCCATCGGATACAAGGTGATTGTAGGCGCCCACAATACTGTTGATGTCAGACGCATGTGGGAGGTTTTATTGTGTCCTACCATGTATGGTAAATGCCGGCGCCCACAACACTGTGGATGCCCAGATGCATGTGGGGGCCTTACCGTGTTTGCCTGGTATGGGAATTGATAGCCCCCATAACACTGTAGGGTAAAACATCGGCGCCACAACACTGCTTGGGTTCTGACATACCTGGAAGGTTGTAGGGCACCCTTCTGACATGCCGTGTTGGTACTGTCCTGCAAGTGTATAGGGTACGGTCCTCGGCACTGTAGTTGACTTGAGCGTCTTGTCTTACTTGCACTGCTCATTGCCTGGATCCTTACCAAGCGGGCGTCGCCGGTCGGTTGGTTCTCTATCGGCTCCAACTGTGCTGGTCGGAGAAGAGTCATAAGCAGAGGTTTGGTGCGTCCCTTGGTCGGAGACACAGGTCAGAGTCGGAAGCGGCGTTGGCCAGGCCTCCCGGTCGGAGAGGCGGGTCAGAGTCAGAAGGGAGCCCCGTTCCTCTTGGGCCAGGCCTTCCAGTTGGAGAGGCAGGCCGGAGTTCGAAAGCGAGCGTTGTTCCTCCTTTGGCCAGGCCTTCCGATCGGAGACTGGGTCACCCTTGACCCTTCGCTTAGGCTTTTAGGTTGGCCCAGGAGTTGTGCGTTGTTCGCAACGTCGTCTTCTAGGCCAAGCCTTTGCTGGGAAGTTGGTCCATGAGGGACCCCGGGTTCATGAACCCAACAGAG